TCTCTCTGCTTCCCTGTCTCACTAGCAGGCACTTTCCTCCCTTTTCGTGCACACAGAAAACCAGGACTGCCGTTTGGCAATATAGGATAGTTTGTTTCACACTTCTCATGTCAAAATAAGGTTTCTAAGAAGCCAAGCGCAGTTACTGGTCTCTAGGTCCAACCAGCTTGCCCCAAGCCTAGGACGCAACAACTTCTTGGGCTTTATGGTGCTGTCCGAGAAGGAGTGGTCCTTTCCACCATGGAGCAGAAGAGAAAGACGCTCTGGGCCTCAGAAGGTACTGGAAACCCATGTGTTCATACCTTCCCACTTGGCTCGGGGACTCCGGCAACAGCCCCCACTGCTTTGCAGCAGGGAAAGCCATAAGTGGTCTAGACACCATTGGAAGGAAACAGACTGTGTTCCACAGTGAATGAGATCCCACCCTTGGAAGAGGGGATGTGGACATCGAAGGTGACCCTCTCCCTCTCCAATCCCAGGATGGATGCCGGCACTGGGAAGGGGTGGAGAAATGCAAGGGCACCAACATGGGCCAGTAGAGGCTCAGGGCTGCAGTACTAGAATTCTGCTGCTTGGCCCATTCATCCCAGCCCCAGGCAAAGTATCAGATTCGCACCCTGGCCCCACAACCAGGTCCGGAAAGTGGACTTGGGTTCATGTCCAAAGCCTCTCCGGAACCCTGGGCCCCAGGTGGCCCAAGCCCCAGAGGCCCCCCAAAGAGTAGCTGGCACCTGCAATCTGAAATAGGTCCTTAATTCCCTCCTCCCCTGACTCTATCCCTCTAACATGGCTTCCAGGATAGGGACCAAGAACTGCCTAGAAGCCATGTGTTCTGAGGAGGAGAATATCTAATTTGCGCCAACACCACTCAAGGCAATTCAAGTAAAGATACACCCGAGATGCCCCTTGCCCTGTCTTCCACCACCTCTTCCCAGCCATGGTCCCTCATACAAGTCCTGAGGATACAGATGTCTCCAGCAAAGAACACTCCGACTCTAGCATGAAGGCATGCTGCCCTTGGAAAATATCCCTTCCCCGGTCAGACGGGTCTCCCTCCTGCCTGCACAGCTCCAGGTCTGGCTGTCTGGGAAAGCTTGGGCCTTGGGGGCCACGCCTGGGGATCCCAAAACCCATGCCGGCAGCACAGGGGCAGAACGGTTGGAGAGGCTGCAGGGGACACACAGAGGCCAGCCAGCCCTCAGGCCCTTTGCTCCGTCATCCTGCACCTGCTTTCTTCTGGTAGCTGGACCCAAGCCACAGAGACGTTCACGGTAGTTAATGCCCCAAATACGTACCTCCACCTCGCCCATCTTAGAGCCCAAAACTCAGAGGGCTTCACCCTCTTTGTCATCACAAGGGTTACTTGGGTGCTGGGGTTGCGTCTCAGGCCTAAACTTACCAATGACCAGCGTCGGCAGCTTCACCCAACTGTAGGCTGCCGGCATCAACAACCAGATGGGCACAAAACATCCAGAGCCCTCCCTGACATCCAAAGCTTTCGACAGAAGTCAGGCCTGGGGTCCCAGCCTCCATCCATTCTCCCATCTTGCTGGCACTGTAATTAGGCTCCTTCTTGCCACCTTCTCTCTTTCTACCCTGGTAAGTCCCTTATCATGTGTTCCCTTGGATCACCAGTGCCTTCCCACCAGCCTCCCTGCTCTGACCCGTTCCAAGCAAGATCCCAGGCAGACCTTCCCAAAGTTGGCACCCATAGCAAGGCACGATGCCCATGAGGGAGGTGGGGCAGAGCTGCAGCCTTGCAGGTGGTGCTCACTTAGGAACTCTCAACCCCACCAGGCACGGAGAGCTTCACAGATGTCCCTTGCTGAGAGAGAGCTCTCGTCTCTCTCTCAGAACGGCTCAGCAGGAGATGCCTGGCCATTTTTACAGAACAGGGAGATACCACTCCATGACAGAGCCCTGTTGCACGAGAGAGTTGCCTCCCACACACCCCTTCCCACCAGTTTTTGCTTCAGGGAGGGAATTGGCACTCCCCGGATGGCCTGTTTCTTGGGGAAGTGTCAAGATTACAGGGGTGACAACGGAAGTGACAGATGGTGCCGGGGATAAAGCGGAGATGGCGGGAGGGGGGGAGGAGGTGACTGGCTGGGAGGAATGCCAGGCGTGAGGCTGCCATGCTGCACGCTGCTTCCCTCTCCCCCCCCCCCCACCAGCCGCACTTTCTCCTGGCTCTAAAGCCTCCCTCACCTTGGAGGGAGATTCTGACAGAAGAAACACAGGAGATGGCCCTGGAGGCAGGAAACTCCGGGACCCAGTAAGGGGGGGAGGGGATCCTAGTAAGGAGGAGGAGCACAGCAAGAGTGCACAGGAGTCTGGCTGCTCAAGGAAGACAAGAGGCACCAGAAGGCTGTCCGAGACACGCCCATCCAGGAGACGTCAACCCTAACCTAACCCCCCAGCTGACCTAGGGTTGAGCAGAGGCTAGCCCGGATGTAAAGGCTACCAAGACTACTTATATCATGCTATGTGGGGAAGAGGAACCCAGCACTGACCTCGAGGTACAACTCTGTATGCTCACCTAAGCTCCAGGATGAGACGGTTTCCAGGCCAGCCAGGGCTGAGCTGACCACCAAGCCCGCCTGGGGGGTGGTGGGGGGTGCAGGGAGTGTACACCTACCAAAGCTCCATCAAATCATAGCCTCGTGGCCAATGCTTAACACCAAAGTCAACCCTGAGGCTGGAGAGACACCTAACCATATCTCTAAACATGCCATAGACTGCAATTAACCTTCCACAAACTCTTTGAAGAGTATTAGTACGGTTGGGCCCATTTTACAGCAAGATAGAAAAAGAAATGATTTTCCCAGGATGACAAGCCAGGAGAAGAGAACGGAGTCCAGACTCCGAAATTCAGGCCAAACCCCACCCAAGGTCTCCACCCAAATTCAACCCTATGCAAGTCCTCCCAGGAGGCTGACGGCTCAGAGCGTGGAGGGTGTGGAAGGCGTCCATCCAGCCAGCTTAACCCGGCACAGTAACCAAGGCCCCTGAGCTCAGGCCGTACAACCATACCTGAGTCAGTCCCGTCTGTGCCTTGACCCAGCAAGGAGATAATACCCGAAATCCTCACAGAAATGCCAACCCGGGAATCTAAGGGGGAAGGGCCTTGCCACCCCACCTCCCGGCAGTGTTATCAGGCCTCTCAGCTCAGGGTCTGAGGACCATCTCTGGGCGTGCAGTGACAGGAGCCCCAGGGAGGGCACCGAGTAACCGAGCAAACTCCTTTTCTGCTGCCTTCTTACACAGAGGGCCAGTGTCCACATCCACCCGGACACTAGGTATCACGTGTCATTTGCTGAATCCTTACCACGTGCCAGACACTGCTGTAAGTACCTCACCTGGATTTTCCTACTGAACCCACCCAATAACCTTAGGAGGAAGGTAATATTTTTATCCGAATACACACAGAAGAACACTGAGGGGTTAACTAACGTGCTCAATGAGGTCACATGGCCAATAAGTAGGAGTCTAGGATTCATATCGGGCAGTCTGATTCTGGTTACTCTACATACCGTTCCCACCAGCAAGACCAACTGTTAGAGCAACCTCTGGCCACAGACAAGACTCAGACATAACTTTCTGGTCAGCTGGGCACAGAAAATGTACACAGACACGCATGCACAGATGCACAAACACTCCCAGATCTCTTGGCCTCCAGCTAATCAGCAGGTCTCTTAGGATTCAGGGACTGCCCTCCTTGGGTACATAAATTCCAATTTACAGTGCAGGGGTGAGGTAAATCTCTAATTCACCCAACCTCTGAGTTGGCTCCTCCTGTAGTTAAACTTACTTGACTGACACAGAGCCCCCTCCTCAGTGGGAATAAAACACCTCAGAAATTATGAAACCAAAAGCTCCTGCTTCAGTTATGCATATTTCCAAAGTAGACCAACAAATGTATTTTCAGATTAAAGGGTAAATTTACATACATAAATTCAGATGACAGTATTTATAGCATTAATTACATAAGTCCTAGCTCCTTAATTTAGCCCCAGAACCAATTCCTTATCAGTCACACATTCAACATTTTCCCCCTCCCCCCCTACAGCCCCAGGCCCTCCCTCCCCCTTCCCGCCCGACCGGGGCCTCACTTGCTGGCAAGAGGACACAGCTCCCTTCACTGTCACAGCCCAGCCTCCCAGACACACCCAGATCCAGCCTTAGACACCAGGGGACAAGCAGACACAATCCCCGAAAGGCTCCCCTCCCCCAGGTGAATGATAAACATCTTCAGGAAGTTGGCTATTGGTGGGCTCAGCCCCACAGACACCCCCGCAGGGACCACCGGAGCCGGTAGCCCCGCCGAATGGGGCCCAAACAAACATCCACTTGGCTGAATCTAGAATCGCTCGTTCCCGGGGCAATGGCTGCCTCGGACCGGAGCACTGAGGCGGGACCTGCCTGGCTGGAATCGCCCCCAGGATCTGGGCGCTTAGGTGGAGAGTGGGCTTGGGAGACGAGTGCAGAGGGTAAGGCAAAGCAGGCCCAAGGTCTTCAGGATCCAAGTCTGCAACTACCCCGAGCTCATCTGAAGGGCTCCTTCGGATCCTTCTGGGCTTCATTCTCACAGGCTGTGCCCATTCAACAGCACCTGCGCGGCTAGGAATCTCCCCAGCGAGATGTGGGGGTCGGGAGGATCCTGGATTCCCCACCCCCACCCCCACCTCGCGCCTTCCTCCGGCTCCTGGCGCCCCAGTCTGTCCTCGCACCTGGCCCGAACCAGGCAGGTTATTTATTTGCTCCTTCCCGCGAAAGGGGTCTGCCCTCTCGTGGGCCCAAGGGGGGCGCCCCCGCCCGACGCCCCGGGACCCCAAGCTAGCGCTGCGAAGAGCCCGCTTGGGTGTCCCCAAGCCGGCCCCGCGTCGAGGCCCGGCCGCGCGGAGCTGACAGCCCGCCGGGCGCCCCCGGCCAGCTGCAGGGCGGCCCCCTCCCCGCGCCCCGCGCCTCCCGCGCGCGCCGCGGCCCCGCAGGGCCCTCACCGAGAAGCGTTCCAGGTCAGTGGCCGCCATGGCGAGCTCGCACCGCGCGGGCGGGCCGGGGCGAGCACCCGGGCCGCGACGGGGACCAGCCGGCTGCGGGACGCGCTCCGCCCGGGCGGCTGCGGCTGAATGGATCCAATATGGCCACTTCCTGGAAACTCCCCTTGGCGGCTGCGGCGGGAGAAGTCGCGGAGCCGCCCCCGCCCCCGCCCGCGGGACCGGCCTCCCCGCCCGGCCCCGCCACGAGCGCAGCCGGAGCCCCGCTTGGACGGCCGGGGGTCTCCGCTGCGAGGCGGGAGGTGCAAGCTGCGGGGGCTGCTGGGACTTGTAGTCCGCGAGTTGGGGGGCCGGGAGGGCAGTGCCTGGGGGGCCAAGGGCCGATGCGCGTCTCTCTGGGAGGCTGGGGCCGAGCGCGGGTGGTTTTGACAGGGCCCCGCGCGCTAGGAAGCCACTTCCTTGGCGAAGAGAGTGAGGTGCTGCGAGCGCCTAGGGGTGTCCCCCACCAAGCCGCCTGCACCCCGTCGGAGCCTGCAAATGCCCTGGGACCACCGGCCAGAGTGTCCACGGGCTACTTGCTGCCCATCCGGGCCAGGAGAGGCCCCCTGAGCCTCGTATGCCCGTGCCCTGGGCCCCACCTGATGCTCTGATCGGAGCCAAGGCGGGACCCGGGGCGGGACCCGCGAGTCCGGCCGGGCGGCCTTCCCGGGAAGGGACCAGCCTTCCGCTCCTGCAAGTTGACTCCTTGCGCAACGAAGGCGCAGGATGCTCATTTCACCTCGACGGTCAAGGCACCAGATTGCAAGTTGTCATCACCCCGCCCCAGGGACTTGGGGCGACGTCGGGATGGACTCTGGGCCCTGTGCAAAAGAGAATCACAGATCCCAATGCATGCACGTTCTCTCTGCTAACCGTACCACTCAAAATGTGCACAAATCTCAGAGAAACAACACTTCTGCCCAAGCCGATGGCTTCAGTGAGCTCTGGTCCTTTTCCCTGACTACCAGTACAAAATCTAGCTCCAAATCTAAAAACCTCCTGTTTTCTTACCCTTCCTTCTGCCTTTCTGCTTTCTGGGAATATGGCCGGGTTGGCTTCCTGCTCCTCCACTGGCCTCATCTCCCCACCTCCCCCTCATCACTCCCAATACCTTCCTGACAAAAAAACCTGGCCTGTCCCTCCTACTCAGAAACTTGTGCTGGCTAGAGGTGCCCAAAGACCATATCTGGACTTGGCACATCTGGATTTAAGAGGATCCCTCTTCCTGCCCCTTCCACTGGCTTGCACTGGTGACCTTGTTACCCTGAAATGGTTTTCTCCTCTTCTCTCCCAGGCAAATTGTAGCTTGTCACTAAAGTGAACTGACTCGGGGCGCCTGGGTGGCTCAGTCGGTTAAGCGGCTGCCTTCGGCTCAGGTCATGATCCTGGGGTCCTGGGATCCAGGCCCGCATTGGGCTCCCTGCTCAGCGAGGAGCCTGCTTCTCCCTCTCCCTCTGCCTGCCTCTCTGCCTACTTGTGCTCTCTCTCTATCTCTCTGTCAAATAAATAAATAAAATCTTAGAAAAAAATAAACTGACTCCACTGGTCCTTTTGGACTCAATGTGTTCACTTTGTTCCTCTCTATCATGGTGTTTCATATGCTGTATAGTAGTTATCTATAAGAAATAGGCAGAGCAGTGGTAAAGTGAGTTGGACCAATGGCAAACCTCCTGGGTTGGAATCCTGCCTCCAATCCCATGCTAACTTTTTTAACCTTACACAATTAACTGTTTGTCTCTTTCCTCATCCTAAAAATAAGAATTAGAGTACCTCTGCCGCAAGATTAAATGAGACAAAATAAGTAAAGGGCTTTAAACTGTACTTGAAATAAAATGCTTAATAAAATCTCTCTCTCTAGACTATAAAGGCTTTGGGGCACCTGGCTGCATCAATCGGTGGAGCCTGAGACTCCTGATCTCCGGGTTGTTTGAGTTTGAGTCCCACATTACAGGTAGAGATGAGTTAGAAATAAAATCTTAGGGGTGCCCCGGTGGCTCAGTCAGTTAAGCATCTGCCTTCAGCTCAGGTCATGATCCCAGGGTCCTGGGATCGAGCCCCGCATCGAGTTCCCTGCTCAGTGGGGAGTCTACTTCTCCCTCTGCCTGCCATTCTCCCCACTTGTACACTCTCTCTGTGTCAAACAAATAAATAAAATCTTTTTAAAAAAATTAAATCTTAAAAAAATAAAGACTATAAAGCCCTTAATGTCAGAATAGAGAGAGAGACAGACACACAGAGAGAGACAGAGACAGAGACAGAGATCATTGTTGAATTGACCACCCTAGACCATACCTGCTCTTTCCTTTTTTCCTCCCTAAGCAAGAAATCTGTCACAAATGCCACTTTCTGCATTACAACTCTCTGAGATCTGCCCTAAATTATTTTTTTTAAGATCATTTATTTATTTATTTGAGAGAGAGAGAGAACAAGCCGTGGGGAGAGGAAGAGAGTGAGAGAAGCAGACTCCCTGCTGAGCGGGAAGCTTGGTGCAGGGCTCGATCCCGGGACCCAGAGAGATCATGAGCCGAACCGACTGAGCCACCCAAGCGCCCCTTAAATGATCTTTAAAATGACTTTTTTTCTCTAGTTGGGTATGTTTCAAAATGTCTGCTTCTAGTAGTCCCAGCTGATGGCTGTGAGAAGGAAAACCCAAATCACAACTGACTTCCTTCTCTTGGGATATGTTCACTTTACTAGGGGAATTTACACCTACTCCCCAAGCCCCAAATTTCTTTTTCTTTCTTCTTCTCTTCCCCTGCCCCTTCTTCATCTTCTTCCTCTTCTCTCCTCCTCTCTCCTCCTCCTCCACCCTCTCTACTTCTTTCCCCTTCCCTCCAATGCTACTATGGTCAAAACTACTGAAGGAGTAAGAGTTACCTGTGGAGACACAAAGGTGAATGCAACCACCATTTCTCACGTGAAGCAAAGTGCTCTTTCTTTCTTTTTTTTTTTTTTAAAGATTTTATTTCTTTATTTGACAGAGAGAGACACAGCGAGAGAGGGAACACAAGCAGGGGGAGCGGGAGAGGGAGAAGCAGGCTTCCCGCGGAGCAGGGAGCCCGATGCGGGGCTCGATCCCAGGACCCTGGGACCATGACCTGAGCCGAAGGCAGACGCTTAACGACTGAGCCACCCAGGCGCCCTGCAAAGTGTTATTTCTTATGGCAGCATTTTCATGTGTTCCTTATACATGCAGGAGAAGTTCATATATGTTACACACACACACACACACACACACACACACACACACACAGTGATCCCACAGTTAAATAAATAACTGTATGAATGACGAGTTCCACACAGGGAAAAAAATGATTTCTGTAGTTCTCAGATCTTTTGATAAGCTAATATGCATTGTCACTATCTGAGAGGTAAAGGGAATGAATATGCAGCTCTCCTCAAATTTAGGTGACCACCCCTCTGCTCCCACCCCACGGACACATCCAGCACCACACTGAGCTTGAACATGACAGACTGCACTATTGCTTGTCTTTTACATTTGTTTATAGTTTCTTTTGCCATGCAAAAGTTTAAAATGTTGGTGTTGTAAGGTTTACTTGTTGTTTCCTTATGGTTTTCACCATAAAACCTCTTTTTAAAAAAATCCTTCCCTCTCTCAAATTCATAAAGATAGTCCCTTTTTATTTTCTTATAAAGTGTTTTTAAAATTTTTGTCACATTTAGGTCCATCGGTGATTTGTTCACAGCCTGGATTTCTGTATGCATATGTGTAGGTATGTGCATCAGTTAGGATCTGGTTCTGTTGTTTCCTCAAGATAGAAGTTTCTTTTTTTTAAAAAGATTTTATTTATTTATTTGTCAGAGAGAGAGAGAGAGCACGCACAAGCAGGGGGAGTGGCAGGCAGAGGGAGAAGCAGGTTCCCCGCTGAGCAGGGAGCCCGATGTGAGACTCGATCCCAGGACCCCCGGACCATGACCGGAGCCGAAGACGGACACTTAACTGACTGAGCCACACAGGCGTCCCAAGATAAAAAGTTTCTTTCTTGTTCACATTATCCACAAAGACAGTCTAAGTGATGTGACATTCTATACGCACCTTCTGTGTCCCTCTGCTTTGAAAGGTCTTGACCTCATGCTCCCATATAGTGATATCTGCATTCCAGGCAGCAGGAAGGAATGAAGGTGATAAAAAGAAAATAAGCAAGTACTCTCCAACGAGGCACAAGCTGCCTCATGGTACGTCTGCTTACATCCTATCAGCCAGAACCCCAGCTGGGAAGTGGGGTCTATATCCTGGCCATCATGTATATGCTCAAAATTCCATAAAATGTTAAGAGAGTAGACACTGGAAAATAGCAGTCCTCTCTGCCATGTCTGTTTTTTCGACTATTTATTCCATTCCAGTGAGGTGCTTAGAAATTTTTGTTTCTAATATTTAAATTTTTTTATTCATAGATGTATCAGAAAATTAAAATATTAAAAAGTGACAAGCAAGAAAATAATCAGCTGTATACTACCTGTCAGAACTGACCACAGAAATGACCATTACATCACATTATTCCAGAAAGCTTTCTGTGCATAGTTAAAGATAGGAGGAAAGGTCACAGAGATACTTCATAAGAATTGGACCATAATACAGATGCTATTTTAATTCAAAGTATTCCATTTAATTTTACTTGAAATTGAAGGAAGAGTTGACCTTCAAGTAATGTTTCTTGACCACAAGAGACAGTACTTGTTGAAAGGTACCTCTGAGGGTAAACAAAAATGGTGAAAAACATTAAGATAGTCTTTTTTTAAAATGATACATTTGAATCGTGGGGGGGGGCGCGCACACGTGTGCGGGCACTCGAAGGCATCTTAGCTCTCAGTATTCTTTTGGTTTTTCTATCTCCCTTGACCCTGCCTCTTGACTTTTGTTACTTATTGTCATTACATTGTACAGGTTTATGAGAAACATATTCTGTTCTGTAAAAACATAATTGCGTAGTTACTTGGTATACATTCTAGACTTAAATGAATTCCAAGCCTTTTATCAAGGCTTCTCCATTTGCAAACTATTTCAATTCAGCTCTTCATGGACTGAGTTTCATCATTATGCTGTTTTATCAAGAA